ATACATACATACATACATACATACATACATACATACATACATACATACATACAACAAAATATAATGAATACATATTTTAAAAAATTTTTATTTAATGACCCACATCATCTGTATCTAATGCTAAAGCACATTGGAAACATTTTATTCCAGTATACTCAATTTAGAAGTCTACCCTACACCAGTACAATGCCCTCTCAGAGGCGACTGTCTGAGTATATGCCTTCATTTGTCTCAGCCAAGCTATTGATTCTCACTGAACCTGTAGTAAGACAAATAACTCTTGGTAAACAGGCGAAAGTTTCGAAAACTTGGTGGGTTGCATTTTAGAGGATTTAAAACTCTGGAGTCTGGGGCCTAACTGTCATCAAAACCATTACCCCATCACGTGAATGAACTGAGGTGTTTCACATTTGAGTGATTTTTGCACAGTCACCGCTCTGTGTCCTATGCCAAGATGGGCAGATTTTTTTGAGGAATGAGATCTCTCATCTGCATCAAAAGCAGTATGAAAACACAATCAGCATTGTGCAATGAGGGCTGAAGATAGCAGCACATCCCATCTGTCTGTGCGTATTTGTTCTTACACATCAATGGCTTTTAGAAGGAAGAAGAAATGGATTGTAACAGCCGGAAGCTTGATTTTAGCCAATGAAGTCTGCAACAAACTGTATTTTTTGTTAAGAGTTACAGAATGTATTCTTTAGAATGCATGTTTATTAAATTATTATTTTTTCCCCAGGAACTAACAGACAAGATGAAGGCCTTTGTGGAGAAATATGAGCAAAATGCTGATGGAAAAATAGGTATCATTGAGGTAAGAAAGCTAAAACCCAGTGTTTAGACTCCAAAATTAAAAAGGTTTTGACATGCGTTTAACTCATACGGTTGTGTTGTTTTACCAGAGAACAAAGATGCTTGTTCATTTATGAAATGCTTTCACCCCAAAAAAGTACTGTGAGCTATTCAGACCCATTCAGAGCAGTGAAAGCGTGTGGATTTTCAGCAATCAGTGCAGCTGTCAGCGGCTCTCTGGGAGCATCATTTCAGAAATGCTATCACTTAGCAGATATTCTCAGATCCAGCAGCATTTGACACCTCATAAACTGACATCCCTTCATAGCTGACAGTCAACTTGTCTTTCCCATAAGAATTTATGCTCATTACATTAATCAAAAAGTGCATACATTTTGTTGATCTGATCTTTGTACATCTTTCACAGCTGGTTCAAATACTACCTACAGAGGAAAACTTCTTGCTATTTTTCAGACAACAGCTAAAATCCTGTGCAGAATTTATGGAGGTGAGTCTGAAATGTTCACAGTTTAAACAAACTAGAATAGATAATACCACTGCACTGCATGTGTTTGAAGTATACAATTACAGTGATTACAGCACTAAATCAGCATATTAGAATGATTTCTGAAGGATCATATGACACTGAGGACTGGAGTAATGATGCTAAAAATTAAGCTTTGCCATCACAGGAATAAACAACATTTTAAAATAGAAAACCGTTAGGTTAAATTGTAATAATAGTTCACAAAATTATTGTGTTTAGCGACTGTATTTTTCATCAAATAAATGCAGCCTCGGTGAGCATAAGAGATTTCTTTCAAAAAAGCATGTTGAATAACTTAAAGACATTTAAAAAATGTAAATGTAAATTCTGAAGATCAGTGTCAGCTTTCTGTAACAATTCCAATGGTTAAATGTATTAATTTTTCCACCAGGCTTGGAGAAATTATGATGCTGATCACAGTGGATACATCGAAGCTGACGAACTCAAGGTAAGAAACAATCTTTTAACCTTTCAAAAGATGTGAGCTCAGTGAGCAGCATTCTTTGTTGAGTAACTTAACGTTTATGGTCTGCTGAGATTGACTTTTTATGCTCCTTATGTGGGACCCAGAGACCCCAATGCTGTAGGTGTAAAAATAATAATAGTAATTTTAAACCTGTTATTTTCCCTTCAAATATGTATGTTGCTCTGACTTAACCGACACACTATAGCTTTAACTCTGTATTTTACTACCAAGTCAACATGTACTTTGCAGAAATGTGACTACAGTAATATTTCTGGTTCTGTTTGAGGTCAGTTTGACCTCAGCAACACCATGTTATCAAAAAATGCAAAAAAGCAAAATAAGTGTACTGCAGTCTTAATGTGTAAAAATGCTTTGCGGTGATTCATTTTTGAAGTTCATAATCTGTTCACATATGCTTGGATACAATTCATGAAGTATCCAGTTACTTAAAGGAAGAGTTCACCAAAAAATGACCACCCAAGATGTAGAGGAGTTTTTTTTCTCCACTTGAACAGATTTGGAGAAATGTAGCTTTACATTACTTGTTCACTAATGGATCCTCTGCAGTGAGAATGACAGTCAGAATGAGAGTCCAAACAGCTGATAAAAACATCACAATAATCCGCAAGTAATCCACATGACTTCACTCCATCAGTTAACATCTTGTAAAATGAAAAGCTGTGTTTGCAATAAATCCATCAAGATATTTTAACTTTTAACTGTTGCTTCCAGTTAAAATCATAATATTGCTTTCTCCAGTGAAAAGGTCATCTTGTCTAAATTGGGTGAGAAATATGCACAGATGAAGCACCGTTAACAAGCAAAACTAGTCCAAAACAGTTCTAAACAAAAATGTTGGTGGATTTTCATGTGAGAGGACAACAGGGATGGACTTTTTCACTGGAGGAAGCGTTATTATGGATTGGTAGTTTGGCCAGAAGTG